GATCAAGAGGAGGCTGAAGATATCATTGCATTTTACAGTGGAAAGGAGCCACTTCATTGTATGAAAGCAATCATAGAGGCCAAGGCTAGATATTAAAGAAATTGAAGAATGTTCTTAAAGGGAAGAAATGAAAAGCAGTGTAGCGATCTTTACTTTTGATGCAAAACATGAGTTTAAAACACTGAAAATGAGAATGTCCCCTTCTACTCCCCACTCACCACCACTTTTGCATCTATTATTATTGCATCTTATTACCCACGGACTTTCGTTATTCTTCTTTTGTTGTTGTTGTTGTTGTTGTGTGTTGTTGAATTGGATCTGACTGGCACAGGAGGAAATTGCCCCTCGTTCTCCAACAGAGAATCTGGTGGATTTGAACTGCATGCATTCAGGATTGAAGCACAGCCTCTTGCCACTAGGCCACCAGAGCTCCTGCCTACTAGCTAGCTTTCATATTTCAAGACTTAGAGCTTTCATAGAATTTCTACAAAACCCTTCTTGCCATTTTAAGGGCATAGACTTCTGTGCTACCCATAAGAAGAGTCCTTGTGTTTGACAACACATAAGTTCTTAAGTATTCTGATATGACGAATAATAAAATATAGACTTATGAACTAACTAAACTTCAATGTCACCTTGAAAAGTTCTGTATCTCAATTTTCACATGAGTAAAATGAAAATGATAATTACTCCTACTCCACACTACTACATAATAAAAACATAAGTAATAGGTAATAAAACACCTAGTAGGGAGTTCTGGTGGCCTTGTGGCAAGAAGCTGCACTACAATTCCAAAAGCATGCATTTTGGGTACACCAGCTGATCCCTGGGAGAAAGAAGGACAGTGTCCTCTCTTGTGACTAACTACCTCTAAACACCCACCAGAGGGTCAGCTATGAGTTGGTTCTGACTCAATGGTATACAGCAACAATAACTGCAAGTAGTAAGTATGTGTTAGACCGTTATATGCCTGGCCTTGGACTGATCTCTCTGAAGATGCTTCAAGTGATTAATGCCCTCTTTTCTTCTTTCATCTGATAACATATCTCTATATTATTTGTCACAGATTCCCATTATAGAATCAGAATAGCACAATACTTGCTTGCTTGCTTTCTTCTTTTTTGTTTTGTTTTGTTTCCAGGTTTGATTATGTCCAGTGGCCAAGAGTGGAAGGAACAAAGAAGGTTTGCCCTGACGACACTTAGGAACTTCGGTTTAGGAAAGAAGAGCTTAGAAGAACGCATTCAAGAAGAGGCCCGCTATCTCACTGATGCAATACAGGAGGAGAAAGGTGAGGGTTTCACAGGAGAGCTGCCAGAGTTTGTGACTTACTCATTCATGGGATGGATTCCTATTAAGTATGTAGAGGTCTCTCTTGTGTTAAACATTAAACCTGAAAGAGTGAGCATATGACTAGGAACTCTGTCTTCATGGAATTTATTGGATAAGACAGACATTAAATATGTAACTGAATTTAAGCCCTGACCATAACTGTGATTCCATGGGCATTGACCACGATTTGTCAGATTCTGTGCAGAGTGCTGTGACCTAAGTTTCATATGTGGTATGGCATATATCATACAGAGTAGACTTTCCTCAGAAAGTTAAAAAAATATAAATTTTAAGGATCCTTCTCTTCCTTTTGCTGCCTCCAGGACAGCCTTTTGACCCTCACTTCAAGATCAACAATGCAGTTTCCAATATCATTTGTTCCGTTACATTTGGGGAGCGCTTTGAGTACGATGATACTCAATTTCAGGAGCTGCTGAAATTGCTGGATAAAGCCATACATCTAGAATCTTCATTGTGGTGTCATGTAAGCTCCTCTCATTCCATATCTTGGTCAAGGATATACGACCTTCCGGGAGACTCTGAAGGGGGTTCCTAGCTTTTAATTTACTAAAATAGAACCTTTTTACTTACATTTTAAAACAAATAATCGTTTTATTTAACTAAAGTTAAATTGAAATCCATCTGTTGAATTTTCTGTGTTTAATGCTCTTACATATTTGTACAAAGGATTTAGTTAACATAGATATGGGCAGTCTCCTCCTCTGTGTTTTACTGTTTAGGAAAACCCACTGGAGGGTCAGCTATGAGTCAGTTCTGACTCAATGGCACACAACAGCAACAGGTACTTAAGTGATTTTTT